TGGTGTGTGTACCCTGTAAGGCCTTATCTTTTGGGTTAGGTGGCTAGTTGACAAAGGAGTGCCTTATTATGGTTAGCTTTAGAGTTAGTAAGGGAGCATGTGGATATCTGTTGTGCTCTTTACTCTAGAGTAAGTAATATAGTAACTCTAGAGTGACTACACACTTTTTTAAGTATATATGTTAGTGCATAGGTGTGAGTATATACTGCCTTAAGGTTGGTCAGCTTCCACTTTTCTTCCCCTATATTTTATTGGAGATGGGGGTGGCTTATCATTTGTGGACTTGGCTTTCTCTCTGTGTCTTGCTTATCAGCTTTTTTTTTTCCGGTCTCTTGGTATAAGTCCCAAGGCCATTTGTTGCCTTTCTTTATCTGTTTTTTCTGTCTTTTTCTACCGCCTTCCCCGGGGAAATCATTAGTAAAGTTTGTTTTTAACTCCTTCTAATCAGGATTATCTAGAAGACCTTAGGTAGACCCTATTTTATTTTCTCATCTACAGTGTCACACCTTCTTTTTCTGTCTGATAGTTGCTGGCTTATCTCTTTGTTCTTCTTTGACAGTTTCTTCGTGCACAAAATACCCTAGAGTATGAACCACCTGAATTTTGATCCCTCTGCTGTCTTTGAAGCCAGCTGTGAAACTTCATCTGAATTTGAGAGGCTCTTCTAGCTGTCTCTTTCTCTAGTGTTCTCTTGTACACCTCTTTTTGGTTTGTGTTTAGTCTACTGGCCTCATGGAGCAACTCTCCATCTTAACTGCTTATCACTGAGTACACTGTTTTCACTGTGAAAGAGTTTTATTGTGCACAAAAGGGAGAAGGGTTCTCAGTTCTCTCTGAGAGTCACTTTCCTTGTGACAGTCAGGATGCTGCTGCACTCCTGCTTCCTCTTGGCATGCGTGGCATCCCCACCCTTTCCGTGATGCACTTAAGGGCTGCTGGTCCTGGGAGATGTTGGGCAGCTCCATGCTGCACTAGTCATGTGGGGTGGGGCAGATCCATTCATCTTGGGTTCTGTCCCAGGCAAACCTGTGTGCTTGGTGACGTGTGTGCTATGGTCTCCAGCTGGAATGGGGAGCCCTGGCTGATGCTCTTCGGTGGCTGCTCTGCCAGTGAAGTTTATCTTTGGCCTTAGCATCAACATTCTTTCTTCAAAACAGTGTCAGTTCCCTTGGAAGGATACAGAAGCTTACTCCTCTCAGCCTGCCCTTCCGCCTGTGCAGAGCCTTTGCCTTGGGGTCACCTGCAGTGTGCAGAGGACAGGTGGCTCTTACATAGGACCCCTGTTCTCTGTTCAGTCAGCTGGTAGGGTGAGGACATGGCCTCATTATTTGCAGTCTGCTGTGTCCCTGGCACAGGGCTGCTGCCTTGGCTCATAGGCACCAGCTGAAGAGGAGCACCCAAGTTTGGGTTTGTGCAGCCTGGAGCTGGGGACTGGGGATGGGAGATATGGCCCATCTGAGAAAGAGCCGACACACAACCCCTTCTTCTCGGCTGTTGTCTTCCACAGTGGAGCCTCTGGCAGACTGACAACAGCTCAGAGCTGCGGATTCTTCCTGTTCTTCCCAAGGTTTATGAGTTTTTCTTCCATAGGGCAGATTTGGGTGCTGTTACTTTGCTCTGACTGCACAGACAAAATACCCGACACCTAAAGTTAAAGAAAAAAGGTTTATTTAGCTCACATTTTGTACAGGTTTCAGTCCATAGTCAGCTGGCTCTAAGGCAAGGTGGCACATTACAGAGGGGCAACCATTCCTGTCTGTGGAACATGGCAAAAGCAAGCAAGGAGAGGACACAGCACTCTTTCTGTCCCTTATATTGTATGCAGGCTACCCACCCTGGGGCAGGTGCAGCACTCATACCCTTAATCCTAGCCAGAACTGTGCCAAACCAATCAGTGGAGTGATTTACTAATCACACACCCTTAATCCCCACATCACACAATCTAGATTCAGCCATCTCTGAAAAAGCCCCATCACCCTATGAGGTTTTCGGGGGACATCTAGACACAAACCATAACAGGCAAGACCTTCTTACTTTTATTTGATGTTTACACTGACTGCCCTCTTCCCTGTCCCTCATCCCCTCCCCGTTCAGCCCTCATGCTGTCTGTCTGTCCTATTGTTTCTCTTCTGTCTTGTGGGATGCCCAGCACTAAATACTTAGCATTCCTTTTGTTTCATGTATGTTGTGTCTTTCTGGACTTACTTGATGCTTGCTCATCTCCAGAGGTTTGGGTGGCTTGGGTGGTTTCTTACTGTCTTACATCTCCATTTAATGTATCAAATGTTTGCAGGACAGTTGTGACTTGCCAGTGTCCTTCACAGCTCACATTCCCGTGTATGTCATTTTGGTTGACTGTTGTCTTTACTGTGAATTATGTGTTACTACACTACATAGGAGAACAGGAGTTGCTTCAAAGCAAAGTCCTTGATGATTGAATAAACAGCAGAACTAGCTACTTCCTGAAAAATAGAATACAGTTTTTACTTGAAAGAATGACTGACAGCCAAACTGTAGTTGTTCTGACACAAGCAGACTTTCTCAAGAAGGGGAAATAAGAATTTTTGTTGCTAATGATAAAATTCAGTGTTTGTGTATTACTTTTCCATTAATGGGACCATATACTGCACATACACAACTTAAAAGAGAAAAGGTTGTTTTGCCTCATGATTTCCAAGGGGTCAGTCTGTGGTAAGCTGACTTGAGGCAGAAACATATTAGAGAAGCCTGGCAGAGAAAAACTCATGTCATGGCAGCTGGAAGAAAGAGAGACACAGATAGGGCAAGGGGCCGGACGAGAACACACCTTCTAGGCCATGCCCCCAGCCCTCTTTTCCTAACCATACCCCACCTCCCAGCAGCACTTCCATCCAGGAACTGGTCAGTGAGTGAATCCTGCCTTTTAAAAGCTTTCCCGGTGAACACAGGAGCCTTTTGGGGACACTTTAGGTCAAACCGTAACACTAATAAGTCCATGAAGAAAGAATTAATGGCAACCTCATTTTCCTGAAACTTCTGCCTTTGGTTGGATAAGAAAAGTTGGAGAAAGTTTTTTATTACAGACTCTCAAATGTCTTCTGTTTAAAGTAATCATCATTCCAACTCTCGGATTCTGAGTGGGTCCTCACAAAAGCAGCAGACCAGCGCAGAGTTCAGGTAGATGGGAGAATTCAGCTGTTTTCTGTTAGGTGATAAGGATATTTACAAGAATATAAAACAAAATAAAACTGTAGAACAGTGTCACTCTGCTTGCTCAGAATTTTTATTTGGGAAAATATTTTTTCAGTTATTTATATTAACTGAGTTTATTATTGTTAATGCTGAGTGAATTAAGAGATGAGCTATTTGAGGAATTGTCCACTTTCACTTCTAATGAGGCAAGTATCAGTAAATACAGCCCAAACAAATGGCTGCAGGATCCTTAATACTTTATGGCATAAAGGAGCCCTGAGACCAAAATGTTGGAGACTTCTGTTGTGTACCTTCCTCCTCGGAATTCCGAAGTCTCTGCCACGCCCCTTGGCATCACAGGCCAGATGAGGGAGGAGGGATTCCAGATGAATGGATGGTGCTGTATCAGGAACCAAAATGTTTCCCCAGAAAGGCTCTAGTTAACTTCCTTATGAAGAACATCCTCACGCGGTTCCCCTCACCTCACACGTAGTGTGGGAAAGTGAGACTGTGGAGCTGGTTCTGCTGGTGGGCAAGGCGGGGAGGTGCATATTGGGGGTGGGCAGTCATGTTTATTGCCTGTGGAGTTTTGTTTGTTTCTTCGTCTTAGTGACTGGTGTTGGCAGGGAGATACCGCGTGAAGTTCCATCAGGTGACTCTTTTACCAGGCTTTGCTTGCTTGTTTTGGTGCCTCACTCCCGTTGTTTCCTCCCTTGTTCTTGGCTCTGCTCTTCCATTGTGCTGGAGCTCTGCAGTTCTCCCTTCAAGGTATGTTCTGTTGGAGCCAGACACAAAAACAATGCAGGACTGATCACATTGTGCAATGCCCTCATCCTTCAGCAGAGCTTCTCTTTGTCTTTGAAGTGATTTGGTAACTTCTTATTAATATAAGAACGACTCTCATTCTCACACCCTCAGATGTCTATGCAGCTCCTTCTTGATTGATTGATTTATTGGTATTAGCTCATCTTTTGAGCTTACTGCTAACCTTTACCTAGAAGTTTACTTTAGCAATAGTCACAATCACTTTTAAAAAAGAGTCCTAGCCCTTCTGGATTGTTCTGGTGTGAAACTTGAACATCAGAGTGTGCTGGGGGAGGGGGAGGCCTGGAGTTGATCTGAGAGAGACAGCAGGGAGAAGAGGGCAGGTACCTGCTGAAGACATGGGGAAGGAAGAAGCAGAGAAGCAGGGCGCTCCTAGTGCTTTGTGCTAGGATCCCATCTCTGTCACACAGGCACAGTCATATTCTGAGGCATGGGGGTGGGGCTTCAGCATGGGATAGAGGGGATGCAGCAGGTCCTCTGACAGGGCAGAAGTTACTCAGACCTCCAGGTGAGAAATGAGGAGAACCTGGACTAGGACACTGATGATAAAAGCAGAGAGGCAGGGAGTGGGATAGCATTTGTGACTGAGATAAAGGAGAGAGGAAGCAGTGACACCTGGGAGGAGAGAAAAACTCCAGGGAAGAGGGAGCACTGCGATGTCCTGCGGATCATCCAGCACTGACCCTGTGTGTCCCACGCTGTCCCTGCTCTGCAGTGGTTCTCACTTGAGCCACACTTGGCGTATTGTCCTAAGACAGCTCCCACTGCCTTGTTTTGCAGTCAGCTCCAAGCTCCTGTTCTCTTCCTGTTGAGTTTCTCAAGGGGAGGGGCTGCTGTGCTGTGCCATTCTTTGTTGCTGGTTTTCCAGCTTCAGCAGGGTGGTTTGTGCCAGGCACATTCTAGTTACAGGAGGACAGCTCTGTAGGATCTTTGTGGTCAGTTACTTGTTCATTCCACAGTCTAGTCAAAGCTTCATACTTAAAACCTGTCTGGCTTTCTTGCAGAATGAGAAGACTTTGGGACATTCCATGAGTCATTCGAGCAACATTTCTAAGGTAGAGTGCACAGAGGTGTGTCATTTGGTACTTCGGGGTCTTTCTGTCCTTACACCATGCATGGGTTTCCACATCTGCCGGTAAAGACACAAGAGCCTTGGTTGGGTCTAGAGTCTACCCTGGGGCCATCTGAGGTGGGGGGCAGTTATGTTTTGCTAGTGAGTCAAGGAAGTGACTTGTAGAGGAAACTCGTTCTCTTCTAAGAACTCATATACTTGGTGGCAGAAGACGAGTCTCTTACCACAGGAGTGTGTTTGGCACAGAGCCAGCTGTGGTGACATAGACGTGCGTCTGTACGGTTTATTCAGTGTCTGGAGGCCAGTGGCCCAGGGCTGTGTTCTCAAAGATGTTTCCCAGTACCTGGCTCTTCTTCCTGTGCCATCTCCCTTAGGATGTTGCTGCCCTCCTCCTTGCCACACACTCAGGTGGGAGCAGGGCCCTCAGATGTGGCCATGGCAGGAAAACGAGGAATGAGGACTGAGGGGTCTGTCAGCTGAGGGGGACACAACCAGCCTCTCACAGCAGGTGGCACTGCCAGCCTCCTGAGCATGCTCCTCCTGCAGCACACCCCACCCCTGCAGGCTCTGTGCAGGTGTGGGCCTCCTTCACCCCGAGTCTCTGTCACGCAGCCAGACAGACACAGATCCTGGTGGGAAGACTTGAATGGACATGCTCAGAACCTGTCTGCTGTCTCAGTCCTCCTCCATGTCCTGTGATAAACAGCCCCTATACATACTATTTTAATTTGCTAACTACACAGATGTTTCGCTAAAATCACCATAATTTTTTAAAGTAAAAGAACCTAGTAAATCCCACAAGACATTTTACTGGTCTGTTCTTAAGCATATATGTAATCTTAAATTTGCATCAAAAGAAAAATCTGAAGCCAGGCATGGTGGCTAAAGCCAGGCATGGTGGTGCATGCCTGTAATCCCAGAACTTGGGAGGCTGAGACAGGAGGATCAGTGTGAGTTTGAAACCAGCCTGGGCTACAAAGTGAGCTCAAGGCCAGCCTGAACTGCACAGCGAGACCGTGTCTCAAAAAAAAAAAAAAAAAAAAAAAAAAAAAAGAAATCTGTAGTGTGTGACATTGCAGATCATTTACAACATGGTTTTTGGCTCCTGGCTCCACCATGTTTCCCCAAACCACTCCTTTGCACACTAAGATCTGTGTGCATGTGTCCATCCGTCCATCTGTCCATTCGTGTCCCTCCTTCCCTGAACCATCTCCTGCCACGAGCATGGTGCACATGGTGGAGGCCATTACTGTCTGGATAGTGTTCAGGTTCTCCCTGCACTTTTCAGAGGAGCTGACTGTTTATGAAGCCTGGGCGTAGTGGCCAGGCTGTGGCTCCTGGGGAGTTCCAGGAGCTCCTGTGGCTCCTGGCTAGGTGCAAACACAGTGCCTTGTGGGGTGAAGTTGAGCATACACAATAGGAGGGACTTTGCCTTGCTCTAGAGAGAGGCAGTTGTAAAGGAGAGCATTGTTCTGAACCGCAAACAGTGTCTGCTTATATATGCAGTTAGAAGCATTGATGGAAGTGTGGAAGGAAAGTTTCTTGTCACAGTAAAAAAACATTGGTAAACCGGTGGCTTAAAATGTCGAGAGGTCGTTTCTTGGTAAGATAAGAAAGGGGAGTAATGCAGCCTTCATTGCAGGGTGAATCTTGGAGATAATATTTGCTCACAATCATGGGCAGCTCCCTCTGTGCATGAGCCAATAAACCTGACCCTCAAACTCTGCAAGTCCTGGTGACCTGTGGTGTATTGGCCCTGGCGTCTTCCATGGAGATTGTTCACTGCTGATAGGAGGCAGAAGCGGAAGTGTTTCCTCCTCCTCTCCCCGCCTTCCTCAGTGCTCTCTGTGCCTAGACACTTCCTGTGCCTACTGAGGAGTGGTCTGTGCCTGGGAACTCCCCAGGAGCCAAGCCTGGTGTTTGGTGCATCAGATCACTGAGGGGTGTGGCGCTGTGTGACGTCGCCAGACAGGTTTGATGGCCTGGGCAGGGTTCTGTGCAGGATGACTTCTAGTTCTTACTTCAGCATTTGGCACACGCACCTGTGGTCCTGATGTTTTGCAGCAGACGTTCCGTACCCTCATGAGCAAAAGTCAGGGGAAAAGGTCAGAGCAGTGCAGCCCATGTCCATCCATCCTGTGGCCTCTGTTGGGAGGGGCCTCCAGCTGGGCTCAGCGCCTGTTGCTGACCTGAAGTTCGAGGTAGAGAAGAGGGAACAGTGAGCCTCTGTCTGCTGTGTGTGTGTGTGTGTGTGTGTGTGTGTGTGTGTGTGTGTGTAGAGCTTCTGTTGGCCTTGAGATCTAGGCTGCTCTCAGAGGAAGCGGCAGGCTGGATGGGCAGATGTTGGGGCAAGGAGGTTGTGGGGCTCCCTTGTCAGTGAAATGGGGCGTTGCTGTCAGTCCCCTTATAGCGCTAGCAAGGGAAGTAGGTGGCACATAAAGTGCTCTGCTGCAGTCTGTCTGCTGCTGCTGCTATTAGTAATGATGATGTTACTGGGTGTCACTGAACCTCTGTGTATGGGCCAGAATCTCATCAGATTTGTCACCTCTGCCTATTGGTCCATCCTAACCCCCAGCAGGCCCCAGTCACTATTACTGATGTATTTTCAGCACTGCTGCCTAGGTTTTGAAGCTCATGCCTTCACCTCACCTGTAAGCTCCACAGACACAGCTAGGTCTCATTCCCCTGAGTCTCAGAGCAGAGGAGACAGCAGTCCCCATATTTGCAGTGAGGGGTTATAGGGTGCTGGGCTGTGTGCTTTATGCCAGCCCTACTTGTGCGGTGGAACCTGATGCTTCTCTGGCCCATCCTCACTGCTCCACTGTGCTGCCAGCCTTGCTCACTTCCTGCCTGGGCCTCGGCCTCAGGCCTCGCCTTGGCCACCCTGATCTGGAGGACTCAGGCCAAGCTGCCCTCCTCCTCACCTTCCTGTAAGCCACACATGCTGTTCCCTCTGCAGCAGGCCTTCCTCAGCCCACCCCATCCAGCAAGTGGCTACTTTCTGTTTCTCTCTCAGGTTTTGCCCTCTTCCCTCTAATCTAATGATATTATATTCTTTTCTCTTTATAGCACTTACACAGTTTGTAATGATACTGTAGCTAGTATAGAAAAATCAAAAACTTTTTGAAGGAGTGGAATTGTCCCTGGGGAAAAGACCTATTCTGCTGACTGAGTGCCGGGAGAAGTTGTCTGAGCTGGAGTGACCTGGGGACATGCTCAGGGACATGTCTAGGGATGTGCCTGTGGAGAGCTTGCCCTTGGAACATGGCCCCACCCCACCTTTACCCACCCTCACCCACGTACTTCCTGTTGGAAGAACTTGGAATTTTATGTTATTGTATAGTGTGTAAACACATTTGGTTAGTTTTCTTTGTTTAAATTTTTATGAGTTTATATTTGTATAACTAGTGAATATATTTCTCTTCTCATGGGGTATTGGCAAACATACATACTTCTTCTGGGTCATTTTTATTTCTCCCTTTCTGCTTCCCCTCCCTCCCATCTCCCTTTCCCCTGGGTCCCCTTCCATCTCCACAGATTATATCTCCAAATTAAGGCACAGCTTCTACAAAATCATTCTTCTGGTAATCACCTAAGCTCAGCCCCATCCTGATGCTGCCCTGTGACCCAGAGCTTTAGAGAAAAGAGAGATTTCGGGGCTGGGGGCAGGCAGTTCACCTCCCATCTCTGAGTGCAGATGGTGGAATGCAACAGGCTAGTGAGCATGGGTGTGTGTGATGTGGCCATCTACACAGGTGCTGTATCTGGTGCCCCTGGCCTGCCTCACCCACAGCAAGATGTGGCCTCACTGTGGCATGGAGACAGGGTGGTCTTCATGGCCTTTTGTCAAGCACTCAACTATGCTAGACGTGGTGCTTCAAACACTGAGCTGATCGGAGGACAGGAATAAGGAGATGGGATCTGGGGCAGGGGGCAGACTGGCTGAGGGGAGGGTACCTGGATCCCAGGTAGAAGGGCTTCTGGGAATGGTGGAGCAAGATGACAGTGGGGAGATGGCCGTCACAGTGAAGGCGAGGGGCTGTCGTGATCCCCAGTGAGGTGCCTGAGCTGTCACTTCTTGGAGAACCCTGTGCTCCAGGGGGCAGAGAAGACTGCAGGCCCCACTGCAGTGCCTGAGACTGAGGTCTGTTGGCTGCAGCTGTCTGAGAGCTCTTAGCCTTAGGTCCTCTGGGGACCTTGCACTTCCTCAAGGACACTGAACACATCCACCCCTGCGGGGATTGCCTTGGGCCCTGGTAGTGGCCAGCAGCTGATTGAAGGGTGGCTCTGCAGCCCCGTGAACCACTCAGGGAGGCCTGTGGTGCTGGGCAGCTGCCACCCCAGGTAGTCTCCTCCTCCAGCTCTGGAGGTGGACCTGGTCCAGGGGCACAAGGTCTGGAGGTGGGGCAGCGGGCTCCCTAGCTAGGCAGTGGCCACGATGGCCGCCCCCATGACGTTATCAGAGCCAGCATGATTGAATCTACATGCCTAGATCAGTGAGCTGCTCCAAATGCAGCCAGATTGGCTATACTCAAGGAGCTCATAACCTCTGTCTTGCTCTTTTGCATGGCAGGCAGACACATATTGCTCTATGCCTTGAATATTTTACATTTCTTGTTGCCTTGAGGCATGAATGAGGCACAGCAGAAACTGTCTAGGGATGTTCTGCGTATTGCAGACAGACCTGCATGGGGTCAAGGCTGGGATTTACTCTCTGCTTCTAAGTCCTGGTGGGCCAGACTCAGGTATTATACGGCTTACACGTAAGCAGGGTGTGTGTTTCTTCATATGGAAAACAAAATCCGGAAAAGAAAAGACTCATTTTCATGCGATAGAGGTGAGGGGAGTGAGTTGGAGGTGTGATGGCCTCAAGTGGGGCAGCCTGTTCCTGTGTCATGGCCCACATGATCTTGCTTGTGTTCCCACCTCTGATTTTATGTGGTCTGCACAACAGGCCTGCGGATCTGTGACGCAGCTCTTAAA